GTCCCTTGTCACTGATGAAAGGGAAGTGGTGTGTATGCAGAAGTCTATATCCTGCCCACCAGTTCCTGAATAGCCGACATGGAGACTTAATATGAATTATAAATGTGCAGTTGATAGCTCGGGCTTATTACTAACCAGCTCTTACAACTAAAATTAACCCATTTCTAGTCATCTACATTCTGCCACGAGGCCTAACCTTCCTTTCAGTGATGGCTGTGTTACTGCTGATGGAGTATAAGGGCTGCTAACCAAAATGGCTGCCACAATAGTGTTGGTGTTATTGGGGATATCTATTAGGTGGGGTTTGGGGCATGTTAGGAAAGTTACAAACTCCTCACTGGGGGATTCTAGGCAGGGGCTCTACCACTGAGCCACGCCCCCCGCCCCTCACTGGGGGATTCTAGGCAGGGGGTCTACCACTGAGCCACGCCCCCCGCCCCTCACTGGGGGATTCTAGGCAGGGGGTCTACCACTGAGCCACGCCCCCCGCCCCTCACTGGGGGATTCTAGGCAGGGGGTCTACCACTGAGCCACGCCCCCCGCCCCTCACTGGGGGATTCTAGGCAGGGGGTCTACCACTGAGCCACGCCCCCCGCCCCTCACTGGGGGATTCTAGGCAGGGGGTCTACCACTGAGCCACGCCCCCCGCCCCTCACTGGGGGATTCTAGGCAGGGGGTCTACCACTGAGCCACGCCCCCCGCCCCTCACTGGGGGATTCTAGGCAGGGGGTCTACCACTGAGCCACGCCCCCCGCCCCTCACTGGGGGATTCTAGGCAGGGGGTCTACCACTGAGCCACGCCCCCCGCCCCTCACTGGGGGATTCTAGGCAGGGGGTCTACCACTGAGCCACGCCCCCCGCCCCTCACTGGGGGATTCTAGGCAGGGGGTCTACCACTGAGCCACGCCCCCCGCCCCTCACTGGGGGATTCTAGGCAGGGGGTCTACCACTGAGCCACGCCCCCCGCCCCTCACTGGGGGATTCTAGGCAGGGGGTCTACCACTGAGCCACGCCCCCCGCCCCTCACTGGGGGATTCTAGGCAGGGGCTCTACCACTGAGCCACACCCCCAGCCCCTCACTGGGACATTCTAGACGAGTACTCTATCTCTAAGACACACCTCAGCCCAGCTGTCATGGTTTTTTAAAATGTTGCATTTAACCAGGGAGGGAGTGGGTGGCTGGGGGGGGGGAAGACACAGTGCATGTGCCATGGTCCACATGTGGTTTGTGGGAGCCGATCCTCTCCTTCCACAGAATGAGTTCTGGGGATCAAGCTTGAGTTACCAGGCACGACGGTGCCTGCCTTTACTGCTGAGCCATGCTCCAGGCCCGTTGTGAGTTTTGACAGTGTTGTTGGGTCCGGGTTTCCCAACGATGATGAAGCTGCTGGCATTTATGAAGCCACTGATGGTATGAGTGTTGGTGGTGACGGTGACGCTGTAGGTGCCAGAGGAGTTTGCCACAACGATGGCAGCGTGGTGCCATGGCAGCAGCCTTTGTTCTGGTCATGACTGTGTGATGCTGGTGAGGACACTGTCTGTGTTGCTGGTGTGGGGTCTGGCAATGGGTGCTGATGGGAGTGGGTGGAGATGCCAGCACGGGGGTTAATGGCAGTTATTGGTCATGAGCTCAGTGATGGCAAGAGAACCGCACACATTGGTGCCACTGATGTGCGTGGTGATGGTGGCTGTGTTTATGATAAACTTGACAACGACCATAGAGCCAAGACCTCGGCCTCTGTGAGAGTGGCCCTGGTGAAGAATGGTTTTC